CCGTTAAAAAGGGTGGCGGACGTCGTAACTATGAAGATGACTATGCCAAAGCATTGAAGGGGCCCTGCCAGCTCCGTCCTAAGTCGAACCATACCATGGAGAATTGCCGCGTCCTCAAGTCTATCTACACACGTCAACAAGCTCCGGATACGTCCGACAAGCCTAACGACATAGGGGAATAGCGCAACGAGGATAACGATGACGACGATGCAGACCCTCGTCACAAGTACGTCAAGCCAACCGATCGCGTGCACACCATCATCGGAGGCAAAGTGTCCATCGAGACCAAACGAGAACGCAAGCTGCTCGCCCGCGCTTGCTTAAACATGGCCAACACCGACAATCTCCTCACCGATCCGTGGCTCCCTCCGTGGTCTCACCACGAAATCTCCTTCAGCAGAATGGACCAATGGGCCGCAATACCTGAGCCAGGGCATTTTCCCCTGGTCCTCGATCCTTGTATCAACAAAGTTCAGTTTGAAAGAGTACTGATCGATGGCGGTAGCTCCATTGATATACTGTTCAAGAATACCGCCGCATACGAAGATAGCTCGAGGCGGACCTCAAGCCATCTGAGGCACGAGTTACGGGTGTTCTCCCGGACGAGGCTGTACACCTCTCTCGGGCGAGATCACGCTACCAGTGCAGTTTGGGACCCCGGATCACTTCCGCACCGACTACGTCAACTTCGTGGTCGCCGACTTCGACGGCACCTACCATGCTATTCTTGGTCGACCGTCGCTCACCAAGTTCATGGCCATACCTCATTACAGGTATCTGGTGCTCAAGATGCCTACCGAGAAAGGAGTTCTAACCCTCCGAGGCAACATGTACGCAGCTTATACCTGCGAAGATGACAGTTTCAAAATAGCAGAGGCTCACGACCTCTCTATTCGCATGGCCGAGACCGTGCTCGATGCCAAGAAGACCTCGATTGACCACCAGGAGATCCCGGAGCTCGAGGCTCCATGCAAGAACATCAAGTCCAAGGAGCACAAGGTGATCCGGTGGTCGACAGTGATCCCAAAGAAGATGGCCCTTATCGGGGCCAACCTGGATCCCAAATAGGAAGACGCGCTCGTCAGGTTCTTGAGGAGCAACGTGGATGTGTTCGCAAGGAAACCTGCTGACATGCCCGGTGTACCTCGGAACTTGATTGAGCACTCCTTGAATGTCAACGGCAAGGCCAAACCTATCAAGCGAAGCTTCTGACGGTTCGCTTCGCGACAAAAAGGAGGCGATTAGGGTAGAAGTTACACGGCTTTTGGCGCCGGATTTATCAAAGAAGTGTATCATCCGGAGTGGTTAGCCAACCCGGTTCTTATGCATAAAAGAATAATGAATGGAGAATGTGCGTAGATTGTGCCGATCTCAACAAGCGCTGCCCTAAAGACCCTTTGGC